CACTTGTGGTTTTTAACAAGAAGTCGAAAATATCAGTTTTTACCAAAAATGACAAAAATATTCACCAAAATTAGAGAATTGAAGATATCATCACGAAATGAACAAATCTGAGAGAGGTCCACATGTAGTACCTATATATGTAATATCAAAGCAATTGCACTTGCGGTTTTTAACAAGAAGTCGAAAATATCAGTTTTTACCAAAAATGACAAAAATATTCACCAAAATTAGAGAATTAAAGATATCAACATGAAATGAACAAATCTAAGAGAGGTCTACCCAAGGTACATATACACCAAGTATCAAAGCATTTAGGCTTGTAGTTTTCAAGAAGAAGTCGAAAAAGTAAAACATTGACATGGACGACGGACGACGGACAATCACTCATATGATAAGCTCCGCTCGACAAAGTCGACAGCGGAGCTAAAAATTGGTCATGTGACAGGGGCCACAGAAGATTATGACACGTGCTGCGCACTATATTGTGAAATGACACAAAGTCATCAGTGAGGCCTTCAGAGAATGGCTTGTGACGTATTTGACAATTCACTCAGAATACCCAATGAAGTTGTCATCTTGTACTGTAATCTCTTGAGGTTCGCTTGACAAAACTGGATTTTAATACTAGTAGATGGCTCTGAACCTGTACACAACCCCGAGGCCATCTTTTTTCATTTGCAAATGATTTAATGTACAATGTTAGGTATATAGTGTATGTGCTATGCTTTCAGTTTTCCACATTTTGGCAATGGCTGTTACAAATTGAGACTATGCGAAATGATCACAGAATATGTACGTTTCTATGACGGAACTGGTTAATGTTTGTCATGGGCTGACTTTGCTAGTGTTCTTGCACGATCACAGAGCACGTACAGTAATTATGTTTTTGCTTTTTTGAATAGACACATAAGATCACTAATTTCAGTTTACACATCCTTTCCAAGCATCCTGTGTGTTTACAAACACTTTGTGATTGGTAGTGATTTGTTGAGGCATTCTTCCATTGGTAATTTTTGTATTTTTCCTTGTATACCTTGCAATCCAAGTGATTCTAATCACAACTATCTACATTCTAGACTAAATAAAACTATCTATATACCATGTACTGTTACAGAACAACTAAATATAGCTTTAATTCTAATGATAACAATCTACCCATTACAGTTAACCTTCTTACCCTATAAAAAAGTATGTTCCTCTAAAACTCTACAAGTGGACTGAACCATTTACTTTGGAGGGTTGCATGAGTTAGTTAGAAGTGTTAATGAGATTAATCCCATTACAAAAAATAAAAGAAACATGAGGAGATTTCAGAGTGGAGTGAGGATGAAGAGATAAAGAAGGGTTAATTTTGTCAACTGACTTGTTCCAAGACTGTCGTCAATTTCATCAAGAAATTGGAGTGGTGGCGGCGGTTCAAAATCAAATGAACCTTCCAAGGTCAGTGAAGTTGGAGGAGGAGGCAAAGACACTGAAAATAAATATATAGAACACAAACAACAGTTGGAAACTGTTAGTAAGTTAGTCAAGATTGAGGTGCAGTTTTGTAGTTGCCTATAAATTAAACAAAGTTATGCATAAATATACTTTAACTCGCTTAATTTCAACAATAATGCATCACCAATTATTCAAATGCTAAAATTTGGTATGTACAGCAATTTGATTATTTTTATGCATTTTTCTAGTTTCTTTCCTAATTTCGGAAAAATTTAATAATTTTTCATTGACTATACGCCTTGATTAAAAAAATCAGAGAATTTTGTGAAAAGTGATGGTTGAGGTTGTTCATGACGACATTTTTCAAAAGTCACCATGACTCCCTTCACTGTTACAAAAATTTTTGATTTTCCTTTACTTCAATTTGTTTCTTGTGAAATAAGTGGTTTACAGGAATTACAGAGATATTAAAATAGTGAAGTCAGTGGCCAGAATCACTTATTAATACAGAAAATTAATTGTGCATTGATTCAATGAACAGCAGCATTCAGAACTGCATTGATCACATTTTATCACCTTGCTGAAATACACAGAAAGACTCAAAAAAATCTGTATGATAAGAGAAAGGCAGTGTTCTCCCAAGAAAATTTTCTCAAGGTTGCGGCTAATTTGCATATTAATTAGCATACTAATTAGTATAATGTCTAGTTATATTTTTTTAACTAAACAAGATTTACCGTATACAGTGAAACACATTTAATTAATTAAAATAGGATATATTGCCAAAAATATATTAGTTAATATTGTTAATTGTATACAATTATATATACAATTCAGTTTTAGTTTTGAAAAAAAAAATGTATAACTATGAAGTCATCATCATTAAAATTGAGAATTATGTGAATTTGACCCCTCCTTTCCTAATCCTTAGTTTTACTGTGCATGTGCTGGTAATTTGCACACCACATTGTGTCAACAGTTGAAATCAGTTATTTATTTTCCTGCACAAAATCGAGGTTAATTGTGCTAGCTAAACATTAAAAGTGTATCCCTGACTTAATCAGTAAGGAAATAAATAACTGATTAGGAAAACGTGTCCCTGGTGACAGAGGTTCGATTTACTGATAAACTTCCTCCATTGAGTCTGGTCTTCCACGGCTTGGTCAACAATGGTAGTCAGTCATGGATTTCTCCAGCAATCTGGGGCATTACTTTTATGTCAAAGCTAATTTAAACGTGATGATAGATTCATTGACTGTGAATTACTTCTCAATTTCATCACTGCTTTCAAGCAGTCTCCGTTGGCCGAACTTGACTTGTGTTTTTCCGATAATTCTAGTATAGTACGTCATGTTTATTTGCTTTCTACTTTTGAACGCAACAGAAACCAAGCTTCACACTTTCTGTCAGTTAGCTAGTAAAAGCCAATTCTGTTGTTTTGTTATGTTTAACATGTTAATGAATGAACACCGGTAATAGTAAAGAGTGCATAACAGATTCACAATAAAACTTAGTGGGATTTCTTCAGTGCTGTGGTCAACCCGTCAGCGTTGCGGGCAATCACTCAGAGCAGTGGCATAAATTATAGAGTAGCAGCCCTGCTATGTTAAAATGTTTTAGAGACAACACTGAAAAGTTAATTTTCTCGAAAAAAAAAAAAAAAAAAATTAGTTTGCAAAGCATCATCTACAAGTAAGTAAAAATATATTTTCTAGCACAGAACTTCATAATATCTTCAAGTGTTACTGGATTTCTAAATTATTCTACATACAATGCAATGGATAAGATAAAATATGAACAAAAGGTAGCATATAATATTATTTGGTAAATACTTACTTTCACCTGATGGAGGACTATACTGCGTGTTACTTGTTATATCTGGCATTGGTGGAGGGGGAGGTGGTGGTGGCGCTGCCGGTTGTCCAGCCTGAGATGCCAACATACCAGATTGGTATTCTGACTTAGGCTGTGTTGATCTCAAATCCACCTTAGCAAGGCCAGGCAAAGGCATGTATTCTCCTCTGAACTGTGGAGGTATATTTTGCTGAGGAACTGCTGTTGCTGTTGTCTGATACTGCGATGTTCTCTGTTCTTGTTTATCCCTCTGGCTGGCCAGGTAAGCCATGCTGGGGGCGTAATGACTCTCGACTGTTGGACCCACTGGCTGCGGTGGTGGTGGAGCTGGCGGTATATTGGCTACTGGCTGCTGTTGAGACTGGGGTGGCATTGGGGGAGGCTGTTGTGGTCTTCCAATGGTTACGTGTGGTGACTGATACTGCCCTGGTGGAGGAGGAGGAGGTGGAGGCGGGTTGGGCACCTTGGAAGGTCTTGTATGCATAATTTCACTGGGGGCAGCATAGTCTTTAGGAACTGCTGGAGGCTCCGGTGGTTTATGAGACGGTCTAGGTAATGTCCCTCTACCTGATCTGTTAATTGTACCAGTATTGCTGACAGGGGCACTGTCATTGGAGCTCACGGTACCTGTACTACTAACAGACGGTGTCCTGGTCATTCTAGGATTTGTAGAACTGGCAATTTTAAGACCGTGACCAACATCATCCAAGCTTACATAGTCTACTGGTTTACGTACATATTTGATAGGTCTTTCTGGAGATGATGGTGCAATGATTTTATGTGTGCGTATAATATTGCGATTCGTCGTTAGTACACCAATCTCTCGCCTTGCCACTTTTTCTTTATGTATACTGACAGTCTGTGGGTAGAAATATATGATTATAATAAATAAATATTTATTTATTTTTCTAAGGAAGATGCTACTAAATTTCATTTACATTTCATGCATGTTACAAAGATGAAAAAATAAAATAAAAATATGAAGTTACCATACTCGGATTGATTGTACAAAATGAAGTGAAAATAGTACGTTTTGTCTGTTCAGGAAATCTTGCAAAAATGTTGGTGATATGCCGAAACCTCTTAGAAGTGCTAACCAAGCTGATTTACCAAAACCCCTGGCATTACTCACCTGAGCTATGTGATTTACCAAAACCCCTGGCATTACTCACCTGAGCTATGTGATTTACCAAAACCCCTGGCATTACTCACCTGAGGTAGTGATATGCCAAAACTCCTGGCATTACTCACCTGAGCTATGTGATTTACCAAAACCCCTGGAATTAGTAACCTGAACTACATGTTATGCCAAAACTCCTGGCATTACTCACCTGAGCTATGTGATTTACCAAAACCCCTGGAATTAGTAACCTGAACTACATGTTATGCCAAAACTTCTGGCATTACTCACCCAAGCTATGTGATATGCCAAAACTTTTGGCATTACTCACCTGAGTTATGTGATATAATGAAAACCCCTGCACCACTCACCTAAGCTATATGATAATAGATATGCCAAAACTTTGGGCACTATCACCTAAGCTATGTGATATGCCAAAACCCCCGGCACTACCGTACTCACCTGAGCAATGTGATTTATATTTGACTCCATATGAGCCATTTGTGTTGCTTGTAAATCCAGCATTTGTAACATATTGGTTGCTAGCGTATTGATTTGGTATGCTACACTGGCTAAGGACTGGGTTGTGTAACTTTTGGTTTCTTCCAAGGCAGCCATCTTGTCACCTGACTGAAATTAAATAAAACTGTCAACCATTCTGTGTATATTTATTGTGATTTACCAGCTGCTTTTTAGTTCCCAATTTTACTGTAATAAAGGAGGATTGTTGGGTGATCCCGAAACCAAGAAACTACAGTTCAAGCCTATACAAACCACCACATTTGGGCCAAACTGAAACTTTGCATTTTTTTTAGAGTCATAGGTCCTGAAAAAGATGCTTCGAAAAATCAGCAATTATCACACTATGGAATCTGTTGAAACTTTGAAAACAACTGTCTCTTTCACTCATCATTTTGAAAGTGACGTTATACGTAACTTTCAACCGCTTTGAAATCAAACAATAATTTTTATAGTATTCTTTTTAAGTGACATGACAAATTAGTTTTGACACCCATTGACTTTAGAAACAATGATAGTTGTGAGCTAAATAAAATAAAAAAAACAACAACAAAAACATTTTTCGGTCAATGACTTCCAGGTCAGCCGATATGGTGATTGTTATTTTACTAACATTTTATTGCTTGTCAAGCAATGGAAACTATCTCTGTAGATTAATAAATTTATTATTATTATTATTATAGGCTTGTAGCTTGCAATGTGTAGGTTTCACAATCAACTCTATAGCGAATGATACTTTATTCCTACCGACAATAAAACAAAAAATACAGCAAAATCAAATGCTACAGAAATTACACATTGAAGTATAAATGCCAGTGGTCATCACATGTGCCGACATGCCACAGATATGGGTCCCATGCAAATATTTATCAGAAAGCAATGTGTACACATTCACATTTATATTTTAGAAACACTTTTCATTGTATGCCCGCCCCTTATCTTAACTGAAATGCTAACCCTCAAGCCCCAAATACAATTGTATATGCCCTTCTTGAGGACACCTATTGTTATACAATTGATTTGGAGGTGGAGGGTAGGGGTAGATTTAGGAGTAGATGTTGGGGTACAATGCAAAGTCTTTCCGTTATCTCTTGTCTAGCTTTGTTTCCACACCCTAACTGATGATGAATTTGCAAACTGTATTTGTGCCTTGATTATCTAGGCAGGACCACGGCTGAGGATTATGCAAGATCACAAAATGTATTATCATTTACGCTTGGAATCTCATTGACATCGAAAAGCTTGACATTCGACATTCTCTACATATCAATGAATGTCATTTCAAAAAGTGTTATGGGCGGGTCACTCATGTAATGTGTTTCTATCGCGGAAAACGGATGGACACAACCAGGAAGCGATATAAATGGTCATGTAACGGACACCTCATCGCTGCAACAAACGACAATTGTGCTAAAATAATGGTAATAAATCACGAAAATACGGTACCAACCTGAAGATAGTTATGTTCACAGTACTCTGCCACTCTTTCTAAATTTGTGTGACTGTCCTGGAGGGCCTGCCGCCCGCCAGGAATCTCGCTCTCAAACAAAGTTTCCAGCGCTGACATTTTGCTCGGAAATGACCTTCACGCGAATGATGCATCATGGGATGTGTTATGGTTAAAATGGTTCGTTGTATCGTTTCTCCAGTGGTGTATATCGATAGCCCAAATCGCAAGTTGGTTTTAAGCGAAATTGCTCACAATTAAATCAGGATATCACTTACAGTACGAATAACATGTTGTTTTAAGGGTTCAATATTAAACAAACAAAGATAAATATGTTTGAATTACTAAAAATACTGCTTCAATAAATCGGGGGGGGGGGGGGGTAATCTGCCAACTTGTCAGACAATAATTTTTTTTTTTTTTTCAGGTGGACCGTAACATTACGATTATCAGTACCCGCTTCTTACTAATCCAACTCTGGAAGTAGAGTATCGTCAATAGGCCGGTATACACAAACATTAATTTTTGTCTTGTGTTTTCACATTGTTGACTGGAGTCAATGTCCAATATTTACTATAGACTTTACAAAATGGGGTATATTTTATTTGAGAAACTGCAAAAACAATATGTCATCACTCAGACAGGGACAAAACCAATCAGTTACGCTATTCGTGGTTAAATGATAATTAAAAAAAAAAAAACGTTGTAATCACGTGCTGTGTTCAGTGTGTAGGATAGATGGGATAGGATAGGATATTTTACTTGGAATGTACACAAAAACAATGCTTGAGTAAAGTCCAATATAAAGAACATAAAGTAACACAACTAATCTAAAAAAATTAAATAATTTTAAAATCTGAAAAACAAAATTAGCTAAAATACTACAAACATATTTGTCTACACTTGAGAAAACATTAATAATTATGTTCAGTATATGTAACTTCCAACAATACGAATACCCCCCAGTAGTCTGTGTCACCAAATACATCGATAAAACACGGTCGCCACGGTAGCATACGGTGGGTGAATTTGTCTGATGTTTTCAAGTTATACAAACTACTGTAAAATGATTAATTTTCACTGGGTTTAAATTTCACTGATTAAGCATTTCAGGCATATTCAGTGGGTTTTAGATTCACACATACAGTTTTATCATTTAGATAATGTGTTCTATGCTAAATTTTACATATTCACTGGGTTTTAGGTTTGGCTCATTTTCCAGTCAGCGAAATAAGCAAAATTAAAACTCAGTGAATAATTAACCTTTTTACAGTATTGGTAACATATGGATAGGCACCTTCGTTTTTTCCTCAGACAACAGTTGCTTGAGGGTTTTTTTCATGGTCTGCAGTACTTTTGTGAGTCGCGAATACAAATCCAGGTCTGATATTTACATATGTTATGTGTATATAAACAAAGCATACACAGTTGTTTGAATTAAAGTTAGCCGTGAATTTGGGGTTTTCAGAAAGTATTAATAAAAGCGATTTCTTCTATATAGCACCCACGAATTTGTCATACCATGGAGGTATACGCACTGCCATATTCTAGCTAATACAGTAAATGTATACCAAATTTTGACAAACTTAATGAAAATATTACTAAGTGATGAGAAAATGTTAATTCCTTTAGCACAATATTTAAAACAAGCAGCCTGTCGGCTGAGATAGTCCCGCTGTTAGCAATGCACATTTCAATTAAAGAACAGAAGATATCATTAGAAAATAAACAATATGTATAGTATCAAAGCAACAAGAACAAGAATTCAAAAATATCACTTTTCACCAAAAATGACAAAAATAATCATCAAAATTAAGTAATTGAAGATATCACCACGAAATTAACAAATCTGAAAGAGGTCCACATGTAGTACCTATGTATGTAATATCAAAGTAATTGGACTTGCGGTTTTTAACAAGAAGTCGAAAATATCACTTTTTACCAAAAATGACAAAAATATTCACCAAAATTAGAGAATTAAAGATATCATTACAAAATGAACAAATCTGAGAGAGGTCCACATGTAGTACCTATATATGTAATATCAAAGCAATTGGG